TCTCTCTCTCTTTCTCTCTCTCTCTCTCTCTCTCTCTCAAACTTTTACTTCCGACTTTTAGAAGTGTTTTTCTCTGAGCTGCCAAGGATTTTGAAAAATCGTCCCTTTGTATCACGAATTATCACGTTTTTGATAAAGGGGAAGGGGATAATTGTAAGGTGTTCCATGGCCTTTTTCTATATTTAATGGTGATTTTATGCAGATTTCTGGATGATCAAAAACGCCCAGAACATCATTGGGTCTGTCAGCTGCTGCCCAGGATGCTTCAGTCTCTACCGTGGCAGCGCTATCCGTGACGTCATGACCAAATATGCCAGCCCTACCAGGGCTCCCTACTCTGTCTACGTCAAGGATACAGGTGTGTGTGTGTGTGTGTGTGTGTGTGTGTGTGTGTGTGTGTGTGTGAGTGAGTGTGTGTGTGACTGTCTGTCTGGCTGGCTGGCTGTTTGTCTGGGAGTGCGGAAGTGTGTATGAGTGGGAGACCCGGGGAAGGAGGGGGTGGGCTGAATGTATGCATGTTTATATATTCATGTGTGTGAAAGAGAGGGAGAGAAAATGTTAGAGAGAGAGGGGGAGAGAGAGAAAGAGAGAGAGAGATAGAAATAAAGAGAGAGAGAAAGAAAGAAAGAGAGAGAGAGGGAGGGGGTGGGAGTGTGTTAAGGTGTTTTTGGTGTTTGTAAAATTGTCTCGTCATGTTTAAAGGAATGTTCTTCAGGTTCAGTCCAGAAGTTACAATATTTCTAATTGGTACCTTTGCCAATGGTTCCCCCTTTCTCTTCCCCTTCTCTTACACCCCCTACCACATACAAGCACTCTATAATTCTCTCTTTCTCTCCTTGGGTCTGCCCCCCCCTGTTTTTTCCACTCCCTCCGCCCACACACACTTTTTCCCTTACTCCAATCTGGCTCACTTTCCTTTCAAAAGCTAATAAATACTATTGCTCCATATTCTTTCTGATACTTAATTGACGTTAAAGCATTGATGGCGCTGTAAAATCCGTAACCTTCTAACTCATACACGGCTTCCCTCAAACGCGATCTGCCTGCAGGTGAAGACCGATGGATGGCGACTCTGATGATGATCAACGGCTGGCGCATGCGATACTCACCCTTCGCTGACAACACAACATACTGTCCCGACTCCTTCGGGGTGAGTGGGGGCACTGTTGGAAATGTCCATGCGTGCGGAGGGAGATAAAGAGGGAGAAAGAAAGAGACGGGGGTAAAGCAAGTAGACAGGAAGACAAAGAAAGACTGGAAAGAGACAAGGAAAGTGGGGGAGAGTGAGTGAGAGAGGAGAGGGTAAAGATATCGAGAGAGACGGAGACACGACGAACATATGACTGAGTGAGAGAGGCAGAGGGGAGACAGACAGACAGACAGACAGACAGACAGACAGACAGACAGACAGACAGACAGACAGACAGACAGACAGACAGACAAATTGGGGGAAGAGAGATAGAGTCGAGCAGGTTAATGATACTGAATCGTCTCGACTGATAGACTTCAGTTCTGTAGCTGTTTTCTCTTGGAGATAAGTCAATATTCACATGTTCACTAAATTTTGGCAATGTGCGCCAGTTCAGTTTTTCATCTGCAAAAGTCACCACTATCCTTTCAAGACGACTAAACGGTGGAAGTGTAAATTAACATCGCCTTTTGCTATTTTTTTTTGGGTTATCTGATCGCAACAACATCAAAAGATATACAAACTAGGCAACCTCAGCAATGAACTTAGCTACTCTTGATGACCAACTTTGTCAGAACCGCTGAGGTACTAAGCAAAGTCACCAGAACTTGGTATAAACAATAATAATTCTTTAAATCATTACGATGGTGTCATAAAAATGATATTCAACTCAGCAATGCGTTTCCTGTAACTTGCGTCCACCCTTTTCAAAAACAAACATGAACAACCCACGTATTGTCAGCATGATCTTTCTATACTGTGACGTAGGAATTCGCCCCACGGATCGCCACGTTAGCCAGCCCCTGAAAGCAAATAGATCTGTTTGTCTCGTATGCGTATGTGATATATATAGTCGTAAAACTACAAGCAAGCCTCGGCGGAAAGTTCTAATTTCTTCGTTGTTGCTGAAACTTTAATCTTATTGTGAATGAAATAATCCCGTGAATTAAGTACAGCGGTCACAAGTTGTGTCAAGGTAGTTGGGGTGGACTGGTTACAAAAAGAAGTGGTACGGTAGGCATAATTATTGAGAAGCTTAGAAGTGAATAGGGGTGTTATGTACAAACTCCTTCAAACTTTTTCTAGACCGTTCCAGTCTCCGTAAAGTGACTCAAAGTTAGCAACTGCAGTAGTATCCATTTCGTGTTTGTAATAGCTGTAACAATTTTCCCCCATTCACACCATTAAGATCATTTAGGAGGCAGGCTGCTTTGCCCTTGCCTGTCAGGGGTGGACCAGCCCGGGCTGGGAGGGATACACGTCCCAGCAGACAGACGGGATTACTCGATCCCCCATGGGTATTGCACTCACGGTCTTCTGCGTGCGATGGCAAAGCGAACAACTTCTACACCACATATGCCGTAGTCGTGTTTGTTTGTTTCATCTGAGTTAAAAGCAGCACATCAAACACAACAACGGGTCATTCAGTCCAGAGAGAAAGCAAGAGAGACAGGTACAACAGAAGAAAAGGGGAGAAGAAGGATCTACCATTTTTAGTTTTAGTTAGAGTTTTACGGCACTTGCAACACACAATAAGGGTCATACAAGTGCCGAAGAACAGATGTGCCACAAGTGAGTAACATACACAAAAAAAGGAGGAAAGATAAAGACGATAGATGTTTGATAGAAAAGAAGGAGCAAACCACACCAGAGCACCCGCCAACCACCCAAGTAGGATCTACCATTGACCCTGTTTCGTGGAGAACACAATTAAAAGAAAACAACAACAAAAGCAACAACAAGAAGAACAACAACACAGTAGAAAAAAACAACTTTCGGTGTACGTATTACAGAAACTCAATTTTTAACCCGAAGGAGACCCAGTTTTTGGCTTTGAATCTGGAAATCTTGCCTTGGTCCACTTTCAGGGTAGATACTCGACTATGACTTGCGCTCAAGCGAGAACCAATTGACTGTTAACTTCTTCCTTATCGTAGTTGATCCTTTTTAAAAATATTTGAAACTAGAATGACCGAATCTGGGTGATGTTTCTATATTTCTTTACTCTCTTAAGCCCTGTTTGTGTGTTTGTTTGTGTGTGTGTATGTGTGTGTGTGTGTGTGTTTGTGTGTGTGTGTGTATTTGTGAGAGAGATATATATAGAGAGAGAGAGATAGAGAGATAGAGAGATAGAAAGAGAGAGAGAGAGAAAGAGAGAGAGAGAGAGAGAGAGAGAGAG